GGTTTGATTTGTTCACTTACCTTCATCAGTTACGACGATATTGAACTCCGAATTTTTGAAGAATTTGAATACTGGAGGGTGATTGCGGTGAATCAAAATGATTTCAGTTGAATGCAGTAAATAAATGGCGATTGCTCATGAATCAATCAGTCGAGTTTCTTCTCGACACTCACGTCGTGCATGCTGCATACGACGTGCGTGCACAAATAAGCACACCCTCACCGTTACCAAGCAACCGCATAATAACCCAACGTTCAATTGTACACATCTTGCTACATATTCTTCAATCATTTCTCTGAATTATAATTAACGGCCAATGCCCTACTACTATTAAATTGGAATCATGCAAGCATGTTGCATCCAATCTAAACACTCTTTGCACTCATCCGCGACTAGCATGTAGGAATGCCTTTCTGTGATCAGTCAATTCAACTCCTGAATCCTAACTGGGAAGCAATCCATGATGCATTTTATCATCTTCCACTTCTAACACTCGAACTGTAAACCTTGTTTCGCACTGTCTGAACCTATCAATTTTACGCTACTTCCCACACATACCAATCCGAACACAGTCAATCTGCAGTGCTCCGTGGTAAAGAACCTGCCTCCAGAAACAAATTTTTCCTCCAGATGTGAATGTCCGCACTGAGCGGAAAATAACCAGACAAGAACGGATGCAAAAAACTACGTCACTTTCCTCTTTGGAATGCGTTCACTCCGAAATGCTTTCCAGAACCAGAACCTCAATACTTCAAATTCAGTCACCTTGCTATCACTTTTGGATGCCATGAACAACGACGATGAATTTGTTACAACCCTTCAGCAAAACTCCCAAACACCGTTCTCGAGCATGTTTTTTGTAAATGTATAAACACAGCAAATAATAAAGCAACAATAAATTTTATTCAAATCAACATCAATTAAGGGTATTAACACAACAACAACACTGAACAAAACAACACATTTAAAATTATGAGACGAGAGCAGACGCAGTTGACGATTCATATTTCCACGTGGTTGGCAACTGGCGCTTAGTCTTGTAGTATCGGGCGAGACGGTGGATTCGTGACTCTACCAAAATTAAACGGTATTTTGAGTCCTTATCCTGAAATCCTTTCGAAATCTCAATCAACGATCGATCGCCCATAGCCAAACAACTTCTTAAGCTTGTTCCAAGCGAAAAATCAGTGTGACCCTTCGGCGGAAGACTCCTCATGGATGAACGAACACACATGAAGAGCACTATGAGTGGGTACTTTTGATTTACCTCCAGTGACTAGACAACTCTCTCATTGGGATGAAAGCTGTGCCTACAGGAGGTCTGTGCTTATTCTTCACATTCATTCGACTAATAAACACAACGAAGCGATTTTTCTTAAAAACAACAAACAAGTAATATACCAATATCTATGTTCAGCGTTCGTATGCCAATGAAGATCTCAAAATCGATCGTTAAAATTTTTTCTTGGCAAGAGTAAGACCCCCACGTCTACACTCTCCCGACTTCCTTTGAAACCAACCCATCACGGCTGTCTCCTGATCGTGCACAAGGAAGATGGGGACATCCTAGCACGACCATATTTTGCACACATGAGCAACAAAAATTTACCGTTCTATTATAAACGGAATAAGTGAAGCCAAGTTTTGAGACGATTATTACCGTCACAAAAACTACTCCTCATGTGTGCATAGCTGGAGACTAATCACCGTAGGGAGGCATCACGTAATGTTCATATATGCGGTAGAATTTTACCACATCATCTACAAATTCGTTTGTTTTTGAATACCATAAACAAATCCTATGAGTGGTCAGTTTAATAATAAAGCACACCAGTAGCAGATTACAACTCAGAAACGTACAGATTTGAGACAAATCAGAGCAATAATTCACGAATTTCAAAACAAAAATAACCTTGCGATTGCGCTCAAGATGCTTGCGGATATTAACGGCCTTCTTGATCAAGTGGTACAAATCCTCAGGAATCTCGGGTGCCATGCCCTAAAAAACGATTCAGCTATTCGTAAATTACTAAAGAGGCTAACTTTACAGACTTGGGATATGTTTGAACAATTAACCAATCAACAAATGTACCTTGCTTTTAAGAATGCGCACAATTTTGTTGCCTGTAACACGACGTACTTGTGCAACACCGTGTGAATCACGTAATATAACACCAATCTGCGAAGGTCTCAATCCCTGAAATTTATTTGCTCATCAAGAGCTTCACATAACTATATGACAGCAATGAAGTCAAAACATTCAGCAATCCCATAAACTAAATCTAAATTAGTTATCAAAAATCAACCCACCTTCTTTGCAAGTCTTGTAATTTGCTCCTGTACATCCTCACTTGTCAGTTTGAGCCATGTTGGGACGGAACGACGATACGGCAGTGCCGACTGGGATATACCCTTTCCGGGATTGTGCATACGACCCATTGCGACCTATTTACTTCTCAGCTGCTTAACTTCAGCTTGACCTAAAAATAAGAACAATGTGGCTTGAGTAAATAACAGGCATAACTCGAAGCAAATCGGTGACATAAACGATTTCGAAATGAACTGAGATACAACGCTTCTTACAAAAACACGGCATTACGAACATATTCACATTAATCAAGTCAACCGAATCATAAGGCTGGGCGAATCTAACCTAAAAACATAAATATCCACTACTGAACCCTTATCTCCATTAAAATTTAAAGGTTGGATCCAATAACTATCTAAAACAATTATCTCACAACCAGTAGGCAAACCGTAAACATCGTATGGATACAACAAATGCTCACGGCTTAGTTCGGCCTTATCTGCTCGAGCTTAAGCGGATGATTACAAGGGGCTGAAACACACCCGAACGAGGTTTACAGGTTGCCTCGCAGTGAACTAATTATGAAAATTCAGCTGAAAATGAGCCAAATCAATATGCTAAAATTGATCCCGAACAATATTAACTCCATCAGTCTACGAAAAATATCACTCATTGACTCAATCTTCACTAACTTTAGGTTTGCCGAAGACGGCAATTGCTAGCTGACGTCTGATTTACGCTGCATACTTCAAAAATTGTGGGAAATCGTGAAATAAATCACAACAAAATCCCCAGAAAATAAAACATTTCAAGCCTGACAGTCACTCAGAATTCATCACCTTATAGAAGCATTATGCAGTGAACTTTCTTACTGCTAAACTGCCTAATACTGATGTAGAAGACAATGAATGGTAATCAACAGATTCTTACGAGATCTTTTACCTGACATCCAAAACAAACCCTACTGCTCCCGACTGTTCAGGAAGGAAACCAAGAACGAATAAATCAACAAACTGAAAGTTTATAGGCGATATGTGTAAAACATTCTGCTAAAACGTAGCTTATGGACACCGTACTGAAAATTCGTCCTTATTTGAAAATTCGTACAAAGACCCACTTAATGTGTGAAAGCTCAGTAACGAATGGCAGAATCGCCACGACGCATTACAACTCACTGAAACGTGACGTACGTTTTAAAAATGAATGATGGGAGGATTCATGTTTTCATTAACTGTGCTCAAAATGGATATTGTACACTTACCATTTTTACACGGATTGAAAATGCATTTTACCTCAGTTCTTTATGAAGTGGAACGGCCTCTCGTCATTCAACTTGAGATTAATCTGATTTGTTCTTGTACCATGCAATCGAAACTAGTAGTAAGTCCCGTCTCTTGTCGATGCAAATCCATGAGAACCACCCAGCTTATCTACAACTGTCCTTAATCCAAAAGGCACTAACAACTCCCGGAATACCGACCTCCTCTTAGTTCGAACCCCACAACTTTGTATGCAGAGTTTCACAAGTGCCGATCCGAATTAGTGGCTGTACCTCATGTCAGGATTACAACAATAGATGCGAATATTGTGACTTTATTTTACATGAGCAAACAAAAATTTTCAATCGAGCAAACTGAACAAAAACCAAAAAACAAGCACAATAATGAACAACAACAATAAACAAATAAAGTGGGTG